TCTTGAATTCAGAGCGGTCCTTCTCCTATAGCAATTTCCACCCAAGTCTATAGATCCCAGTCTGTCCTGCTATTTACGCATAGCTGGGGGGGGGGAGAAGAGATGGATTCATACCTTTCCCAAGGGTATTTGTACATAGGTGGAATTTGAACTTGGCCCTCTGATTCCTCAATCCGAGCAGCTATCCATTATTTCACTATGCTAAATGCTCTACCAAAAATGAAAATGCCCAATAGCATACTAATTATGCAACCTTTGGTAAAAATTATAGAATTAGCACACTTAGGTGATGTTCACATGTTTTTTTTTTTTTTTAATTTTTTTATTTAGCAGTAAATAAACTAATAACAAATAAGATGCAAAACATTTTTTACTTAATATTGCTGCCACATATAGTCCGGTGATCCTGCTGTTTATATAGAGCTCCTTGATAAGCTCCAAAGAAGAACCTGCAATATTATTGTTCCTGATCTGGCATCTCAGCTTCAGTCACTTTCCCATCGCCATAAGTTTGTTTCCCTGGGCCTTTTCTATAAATACTTTCACAGTAATTGTTTGGATGAACTCTTCACTATAGTACCTAGACTTTATGAATTTAAGTGCAGTATTAGACTGGAATCAAGATCTCGTCAATTTACAGTTGAGCTGGCTAGATGTAACCCTAAATTCTATGCTAATAGTTTCTTTGCTTACACTTCTCACTTGTAGAACTCTCTTCTAACTTCATGCTTTTCAACCAACTTTAATATTCAAAAGTTTAAATGCAATGTCAATCACTATTTACTGTCCTCTTGATTACTCTTTTTTTTCTCATTAGTAATGTTTCTGTTTTTAATTCTTTCAGACCCAGTAACCCCTTGTGTCTTAGTAGCTTTACTGCCTTATATGGGGTGAACTCTATTTTAAAAGAAAAAAATTGCTGGCTTTATAAAATGTGCCTTAAACTAAGTAGATTAAATTTTTTAAATTGTATGTTTTTTTTTGTTTTTTTTGTTTTTTTTTCAAACCATATAAAGTAAAATATGGGATAGCTCAATGTTGGAGAACAAATTATGAAATGATCTAGTAATTTGCATTTCTAAAACAAACTGTAGCAGCAGCCTAGATATGCAAATCAGTCTATAGTTAAGTGAGATTTTTGGGATCTCAGCAAGGAATTGGGCGGTCCTTACTGAAAGGAAACATGGCTCCAATAAAAGAACAGTTAAAAGAATGAAAGGAATACTAAAATCAGCCATATACAATGCATGAAGTAGTTAAGAGGTCATTTTCTAATGATATTTTTTGCCCTTCTGGGGGCCAAGAAAAACACAGTAGATTGACACTGAACTATTTTTAATATTACTAGTACCCCTAGCAAGGTCTGACTTCAAAGCTACCACTACTGAGTCAAATGGACACTTATCCAGACAGCTACCAATATCTACCTTATGAACAAACATTTTGCTACACCGAATACCAAAGGACTCACTCTAAATCAAATAAATAAAAATATTTATTTTATACCCTTGAGTCAATTTGTTTTATTCCAAAGTTTCTAGTAAAGAAAATACTACCAAAACACTACAAATGTAATCTAGTTTGTTTAAGGTATATTTTACAAAGCCAGAATTTTCAGGCATTAATTCAAAAATGTTTTGTGTCTTATATGTTATTAGATTTTATAATGCTTAATAAAAAAACTTATGGTAGCATCATCTAAATGTGTTAATTCTATAATTTTTGCCAGAGTTTGTAGCAGCAGACATTAAGGAATCTGTGATCTTGATTCTTTTTTTGTGCAATGAGGTACACTGGAGAGTTTTATTAATAATTTTCCTCAATCATTTCCTGAGAATTTGGGATCCCTGTCATATCTAGAATATGATATTTTATTTTATTTTTTTTAAGGTAGGATTGCCAAGAAAAATGACTTTGTAGAATGTCAGTAATTATCACAGACATCAGGAAATGACATAACTTTCCTCATTTAGCACAATAGGGAGAGTATGTGCTGACAGATCCCCAGTGACAAGACTGTTAACATTATCTTATATTAATCTCCTGAGATAGAGAATAGTACAATTATTATTATCATCAGACATCAAGGTTGAGAGAAGTTAAATAAAAAAAACACCCCTTCATGCCATAATCTTTTAGTTATAAGAGCTTCTTACTTCTTCTAAGAGCTTGGATCAAAGAATAGTATCTGTTCTCTCATCAATTGAGATGAGAGAAGATGCCTGGTCCTGGGATTCCAATCTTCCTCATTGCACTAAGAGAGGTGGGCCTGGTGTAATATTGAATCCAGCCTGACAGTAGTTGCGGAACTGAGCAATTTTTGTGCTTGGACAATATGTATAGGACTCCCACATACAAAAGGCCTTGTGTCACATTCTGCCTTAGTGAGAGAAAATCAGGTAAATAACACTTCTTACAATTCATACATCAGTGGCAATATCATGAGATTGTGAATCTTAGAAACTGGCAACTGGATTGAATTACTTGAGATTGGAGTTAATTCTAAAAATCTCTATATATTCAAGTGCCTAATGCAGGAAATTGCAGACAGGTTTAAAAACAGTTTCTAGGGAGTTTGCAAGCAGGTTACAGTTAGTTACTATGAAAAAATCACATAAGTCAGATCCTGAAAAAATTGTCCCAGCTGGATTCTGAAGCTTGATGCTGACAAAAATCTGAAGTTACTATATATACTCGTTTAATGTGCGATGTCTATTTTCAATACAGCTGTACATTTTGACTACAGAAAATGGATATATAGTTTGGTCAATGCCACAGCCAGGACCAACAGTACATATCCTAATTTTATATCTTGTGTATGATACAACCCCCTTAAAATCAGCTTCCAAATTAGGTCTTCAAAAGTCGCATGATACATAAATATATACTGTAGTTGCTGAGAGAATGTGCCTAAAGCCCAGCCCAGCATTACCAGCTTTTAGATTATTTATTCTTAGGAGAAATCAGCTGTAAAATCCACAGTTTTTGTTAATTAAACAAAACTTAAGATTTGCAGCATTAAAAGGCTTATATTTCTTATGACAGTATAAAAATCGTAAGTGTTGCCAAGTGATTCAAATGGATTGTTTAAGTGAAGTTACAACTGGGTGATGTTAACAAAAACTTTCACCCTGTCACTCAGTGACCTGCCAGTTGTAGACCTAAGTATGACAATAAACTACATCTGGCAGTCAGGCATCTGATTGAGAGATTGGAAGTTTTGAGAAGCATGAAACTACCTCTTAATTGCTGTTGATGCCAGGTCCACCCTGACCCGGAGTGGTAGCGCTTGTTAGGGTCCTAGCTATGGGCAAATAGTGAAACCCTAAACAAAACACTATAAAAGTATAAAAATACATTTTTATAGTAAAAAATACCATTACATTTTTATATACCCCCTCCGCAAAAAACAAAAAAAAAAACCCAATATCTATATATAATAAAATTAGCAACAATACATTTCTAAAGCAACATGACCAGCAATAAATTTTATCTGTAGTGGAAGGCATACAATTGTATTCAAAATATATTTAGTTTGAAACCATAAAATTGTTCAAATTATTTACATTTCAGCATTGAATAATCCATGGAAGTTGATATACCACTAAACAAAATCAGCCAAACAACCAACATGGAAGAAGTCTTTCATTACATTAAAGCATATAATATGCTACAAATTTTAAAAAATTCAAATTGTATTCCAAAATATAAACTTCAAGAAAACTACAACATCAAACACATATCATTGTCTTTGGTGATTATGTCTGCACAAACATATATATGCACAAAAGCAAAGTATCATCTACCATGTATTCAATTGTGAAAGCAGAATAACAAATCATATTTTTATTACTTCAAAGCTTCCTAGAAAATTTAATTTCAGTAGTAAATAATCCATGAGGTGTTGATATGCCATTAAACAAACAAACAAACAAACAAACAAAACCTGCCAGTTGCTGTAGGACCCATTTTGACTGGAAATATTTCATCTTAGATGATAACATGCCTATTCATACTTAAATAATCACAACCTGAGGTGAAGATTGCCACAGTTTGAATTGATTGCCATGATCACAATCAACCTGAAGAGTGTCACTGGGGGTGTTACATATCCATCATGGCATCAATTGGGAGTAGTAGGTAAATTGATTTATCAAGTTTATATTCTTTCTTTATTTCTTTCATTTTTCTTTGTTGTATGTAGGCCTTCTCCAGATCTTGCCATCTTTACAATTCATGTACTAGTTTTGACCATCAATGTTGAAATCTTATTTTCTGTCAACCTCTGTTTTTTGGTGTGATTGTTTGGAGTACAAAATGTGTTTTTTGTTGTGCATCTGTTGTCTTTTTGCATGAGGTCACCTGTTCATTTGCATTTAAGTTTTCTGATTGTTTCTAAATGTCTTTGGCTTTTACACCAATACATTTGGCTGTTTTGAAATCTCACCATGTGATATTTAGCATGAATCTTTCATGGACCATTTGCATGGGTCTGAACTTTAGAGTTTGCCATTTAGTTAAGTTTTAGGTTTTTGCTCTGTAGATGACTTGGCAGAATGCATTGGCTGTAGACTTTTTTCAAGATGATTGGAATGTCTTTGTTTTTGCAGATGGTGCTTACCCTACCAAAGCCTCGCCAACCCAGTTTAATGTGGTATTTTATTTCTTGTTCTTTTGAAGTGAAGTTCATGCAAATACATTGACCTAGATAGATGTAGTGATTGACTTCTTCAATGTCATTGTTGTCCATGGTGATGATTGTGTCCTTTTTCTCAACAAATTAATTGCACATGATCTTGATATTCTTGAGGTTCTGGCTGACACTGACTTCTGAGATGACCATGTTGAGCTTAGCTAACAGTTATTGAAATCCTTTTGACACTGTTTGCAAAAATTCTTCCACATGTTTGTATGAGGTTGACATAAACGTTTCTAACACTTTCTGTAAACTTATGCCTCCTTTTCATACATTAAATAAAAATCATTTAAATTCTTTCCAGATACACTTATGTACACTTCAACTGAAAGCCAAATTTCATCTGAAGGAAACAAAATGGGGCCTTATTTGTGTACGACATATGACCTTTACGTCACTCATGAACCTTGTGTAATGTGAGTAGTTTTGTTTATAAATTACAACCAAAAGTGCAGTGCTGTCTGATCAGCCAATGAATGTCAAATGTTTCCTTATGTCTCACTGTTACTATTACAGTAAATCAATATATTGTCAATATTTAAAAAATTTTCCCCCATCATTATAAAACCAACCTACTGTTGAAAGTAATTTCATATCAATGCATCATCAATATTTTTTCAATTTTTTAATTTCTCACCAGAAGCCATCTCGAAATACCTGTTTTTTTTCCTATACTCGTTTTATGACTATCTCCATCACTTGTAACATAACAAGTTATTTGTAATATATTACATTAACTATAATCTTGAGAAATTCAAACTTGAATCTTAACCTCTTACAACTAATAATACTAATAGTACTAAGGATACCGCCAAATCGGATAAGAAAATGAAATGATGTCCAAATGAAGACATAAATATTTACTTTATTATTTAAGCATTAAAATTAATTATGTAAAAAAAAAAATGAAATACAATTTTCCTAACTCAAGAAAAAACTAGAACACTCTAGAATTATTGATAACAACATGTCTAGATAACCAGAAGTCAAATGGCAACAATTGAAAGAAAAGAAAAAAAAGATTAAGGAGTGAGTATAAAATGGAAAAAAAACCGAAAAGGACAAATAATCACAATATTTTACTCCTAGGCACAGATGAGCACACTCACACACATACACTATGCAAAAAAAACTTATTTCAATGAAAAGTACATATAAGAAAGAAAAATTGAGAGGTATAAGCAGTTAATTGCTGATATCCCTGAGGAGTGGACAGTGTAATTCCCGGAGGATCCACCTATGAAATTCTGGAGTTGGGATGCTGAAGGTAACATAAATCAACTAAGTGACAAATCTATTATATTAATTCTATATACAGGGTGTATCAAAAATACTTTTACAAATTTTGCAGGTGGGTTTCTGACACCAAAATGAGGACAAAAGTCCATATAAAGATATGTCTGCAAATCCTTCATTTTTGAGTTATTAAGTTTAAAGTTTACAGTAAACACTGTTAAATGTAAAATTCAAGATACAATCCAAAAATACTTTGGGGTCAGGTTTCTCACACCAAAACAAGGACAAAAGTTGATATAAACAGATGTTCAAAAGGGCATCATTGTACCTCAACACAGCAACTGATAATAAATGTTCAAAATGTCCTCTGCTTGCTTCTACACACACATGCACCCTTTGGATCACTGACTGGCAGACACTTTCAAATACTCCCACATGGTATTGAATGGTTTTGCAGGCCCCCATGACCCATTAATGAAGTGTCTCTGCATCATTAATGTCTGCAGATAAACCAATGCAGGCCAAGGAACCAGTCCTCCCCTACTTATTCATCTTTCACATTTTAGATGTCAGCCAAACAATGTGACTAAAATGTGCTGGAACTCCATCATGCATGAACCATCTGCATCTTTGTATTATCAAGGGTGCATTCTCAAGGAGGTCTGGAAGTATGTTGGAAATAAATATAGACAGCTCCTGTAAGACATGCTGGGAAAACATATGGACCTACCAGACAGTCATCTACAATTCCAGCCCACACATTAATCATAAACTGATGCTGGTGTCTAAACTGTATTGTACCATGGGGATTCAGAAACATACAAATGTTGGTTGTGTAAATTTGTTATTCCATCTCTTCCAAATGTTACCTCATCTGTAAACTAAACTGAAGAGACAAACAATGGATCAGCAGTTTGTGCAATAAACCATCAGCAAAAGTTTTTTCATGGTGAGTGATCAGAGGGCAAAAGACCCTACACACATTGCAAATGATACAGATACAAGAGCTTCTCTTGAAGTACCCTGCATGTGGTACTATGAGAAGTACAACATGCTAGGGCTACTTGACGTGTGCTGATACCTGAATTGTCTCCAACAGCCTGTAGAATGTGTTTTTTGTGCTCAGGTGTACAAGCTGATTTCAGTCTTGTTGATCCATAGTTTGTGGTGCCATGGATCCTGTTTCAGCAACACAACTATAAACATAAGTAAAGGTTGGATGATTTGGCTGCCTTTGCTCTGGAAATGCAATCTGAGACAGCTATGCATCCTTGCATTACCATTCACATTGTCATATGTAAAAATCATATCTGCCTGCTGACAATATGAATATTAAACATTGAAGACAGACTAGCCACAAATGGACACGAATGACAAATGTTACCTAGTCTTCATGGCAACACTTTGCCATCTACTGTAAATTTTCTTTGAATTTCATAACTTAATGTTTATATGAACTTCTGTCCTTGTTTTGGTGTGAGCAACCTTCTCCCAAAGCATGGAATCTGCAATGACTTTTAAAACAAAAAATATTTTTAAAAGTTCTATAATGCTTATGACAAACTAATATATATATATATATATATATATATATATATATATATATATTGTGTATTTGGGCAGCAGTCCCTCTTTTTATACAAGTTTCATTAAAAATGACTGACAAGGTACTGCGGTTAAGTTTTTTATTTAATTTTTCTTGTGTACTTATGTAGTGTTACTTTCCTTGATAGCTGCTGGATCAAATAATTTAATAATTGTGTATTTGGCCAGTTGTTTTTAATGAAACTTGTGTAAAAGAGGGATTGCTGCCTAAATGCACAATTATTTAATTATATTATCCGGCAGCCAACAATGCTATATAAGAACACAGGAAAAATTAAATGAAAAAACTTAACCACAATACCTTGTCAGTCGTTTTTAATGAAACTTGTATATACATGTATGTTTGTGTGTGTATATATAAAATTAATAAAAAAGTTTTTATACTTAACCCATGTTTACTTCAAAGTTTCTTAGTTACATGGATGCAATTACTCATCAGAACAAACTGTTATTATTTCTTGATTTCTTTGTACTTTTATTGTGATGCAAGTTATTTTCCTTTTTTTAATGGAGCTGATTGTTGAGTTCACTTCCTCTTCTTTTCTTTTTCTTTTTTATCCATTCATTCTTTCTTCATCTTCTCTAGTGACATTTGGTTTATTGTTATTTATTATGGTTGGAGTTTTGTGTGTTTATACAGGTGTCTATGCATGCTTACATATGTATGGATGTATACATACATACAAACACGCACGTGTATATTTGTGTACTTGTGTATGTATGTCTGATTGTGTATTTATGTGTATATTTGTGCATGTGCATGCATGCAAGTATACATACGTACAAACATGTGCATATATGTGCATATATGTTTATGTGGGTGTATGTTTGCACACCTATATGTGTTCTCATTTTTTTTCTTCTTTTTGTATTTAGTGTGTGTGAGAGATTTTGTGTTTTATAAAGAGTGTAGTCGTGGTAAATATTGTTGGTTGTTATTTGTTGATATTATAGTTACTCTTTTTCTTGATTGTGTTTGAGATTTGTATGGATTAGGTGTTAGGTGGATTTGTTTGTGATGGGATTGTTTTCTGTGTTGTATTTCTTTCTTCTCTTTTTATATTAGTATTTTTTTGGGTGTGTGTTTATGTGTGTGTCTGTCTGTGTGCATGCATGCATGTATACATACATATAAACATGTACCCACTCACCCATGTGTTCGTATCTAAATGTGTGTTTGTGTTTATGTGTGTGTACGTTCACACCCCTATATGCATTCTCTTTTCTTTTTGATTTTGTTTTCTATTTTGCATGTGTGTGTTTTTGCGTTTTGTAAAGAGTGTAGTTGTGGCAAATTTTATTGGTTATTATTCGTTGATATTGTAGTTACACTTTTCTGAGTGGGCTGTATTTGAGGTTGGTATGGATTTGGTATTAGGCATAGTGGTTTGTGTTTGTGATAGAATTGCATGTTGTGTTGTATTTCTTTTCTTTTTAATGCTCGTATTTAAGTAGGTGTTTGTTTATATGTTTGCATTTCCCCATTATTTCATTTTTCTTGTTCAATACGTTTTTTGATTTTTAAATGTAATAATTGCTAATTTTCCCTCCAGACACAATTTACAGTTTATGTTATTGTAACTGCATGGTGCTGCATTTTTTTTATATTTTCCCATTTGATCTTGGTAGTAATGTTACTTTGAAGTAAACACGAGTTAAGTGAAAAACTTTTTTTATTAATGCTCTATCCCTATCTTTGGGATACACTGTACCACAAAGCCTGCTTGCCTTAAATGCCTTTATAAGCAAAGCACTGAAAAACCAGCAATTTTGGCTTCAAAAACAACCTTCCAAATTACCACTCTCTCTCTCTCTCTCTCTCTCTATATATATATATATATATATATATATATATATATATATATTTCTTTTGGAAGAGCTTCTTGGATGAACTGAAAACTTTTAAGCTTTTGCGAAAAAAAAGTGACATAATGTTTTAACCTAATTTTCTAGGAGGTAAAATAACAGGTCTCTTTAAAGATTGTGATGATATCAATCATCATAAGTCCTTGGATACATGTTTTCTTTAGCATTATAGATGACAACCAAGTTCATTCAATACAATGTGCCTTGACATTCTGCCAAACTGACTATTGCCCATCATGCCAAAAATGGTTTTAAAGTTAATAGAATGGCTCCCAGCTTCTCTAAATATTAATCCAGTAGAAAAACCTATGGTCCCTCATTAGGATATGCATATAAATTTATTACATTTTCATATAAGAAGGCAAAGCTCTCAGCAATGAACTTTGCCTCTAACTCTATGTTAGGCGATAAGGCCCATTCCTTACCTGACTTCCCCTTCCTCACAGAGCACAGACTTAGTAATATCTCTATTACAATGCAGAAAGTTTCCAGACTTATTAAAAGCCTTGACACTAAGAAGGCCACTGAACCAGATAAAATCCCAGTGGTTTTTCTTAAGAATATCAACCCAGAATTATATCCAGTTTTGGCAAAGCCGTTCAATTGTAGCCTGAAGGAGAGATGCTTCCCAATTTCATGTGAGGTGTCAACTGTGTGTTCTGTTTTTAAAAAAGTTGGTGAGTGTTCATGCCTATTGCAATATTGACCCATTAGCCTTCTGAATCTATAATCAACAAGAGGGTTGTTGAATGCCTCAAAAGGAACAACTGTCTGAGCAATAACCAGTATGGATTTTGCCCTGCTAGATCCACAGTTAATGTCTTAACTGTCATCATTTACAGAATGCACTAGATAATAAATTCATCGTAAGGACCATTGCCCTGGATATATCCAAGGCTTTTGACAAGGCATGGCATCAAGGGCTGCTACATAAACTCTTCGGCTATGGAATCTCTAGAAGGGCTTAACAGGTAGGTCCCTGAAGGTCATTCCATGGGGTTCTCACGCCTACCCACTTTCTGCTCTATATTAATAATCTGCCTAAGAACATACTTCTATCCTTACTGAATATCTATGCGGATAATACAACAGTCTACAGGTGCACCTGCCAAATATCTGGATAACCAGGACCTAAACAATTTTGTCTCAATGGAGAAAGGACTCACTTGTAAAGTTCAATATGGTCAAAATCAAATTAGTGATGTTCCACCACCATCGAGCTCCTTATCCTGAATGCCTATTGTGACTCAAGCACTCCCCAGACCTCAAGAGGGGAACTCTGATATTCGCTTGATTCCTAAAAATGCTGGAAAGGGTTGGTTCATTGTACCAATCAAGTAAGTATTTAACTTCCTCCCCACCTTCACTATACTCTATCTTTACAAAAACCAGATCAGACCAAAAAATGGAATATTGCTGCTATTTATGGCCAGGAGTTCCCCATCCCTCACAAGCCTGTCTTGATAGAGTTCAAATGTGCCTACACGGACTTGTGGGTGATGAATTATTTTTCACTTTACAACCACTTTCCTACAGATGAAACATTGCAAGCTTCTTTATCACTACTTTCATGGCATGTCTCTGACAAGCTATATCTTTTGACTTTTATAGCTGGGACTCACTATGCCATATACACAAGAATGAATCTTCCCCATTCCCTTCATATTCCTAGAGTAAGGACTAAGTTCCACTCAGACTGCTACTTTGTGGAACATACTCCTAGTAAGATGTTTTCCCAATCACACCAATCTTTGATCTCTTGAAGTCTAGAATTAACCATTATCTTTCCTGCATAATTCCATGAACTTCACTTTTTGCCTTTTCTCACTCTCCTACAATATGTCCAAAAATTGTTCAAAATGGCACGTGTGTTAGCTTTTGTCAGTTCATCTGATGATGATGATGATGTTAGGATTGTTTTTTTAATTCTTTTTTCAGCAGTTTTCAGTTTTGTTGTAAGAATATTGTTATAGTGAAAAGTGCAGTCTTTTAGACCCTCTGCCTTGAGGTCTGGATGAACTGTTATTACTCCACCAGCTCTACACTGGGATAGTGACTTCTTTGTGAGGAGGTCAACTTTAGGCTGGAGATGTCAATTAGTTCCTAGATTCAGGAATTTCTTCTGGTCTTCTGTTAATTTATGACTGGATAGGTTTATATATTTATCACTACTAATATTCTAGCAACAAAACTCAAAACTGCTGCAAAAGAATTAAAAAGCAATCTTATAAAAAATTACACGACATCATCAATGACTGATCTAAATTTACCAAATTAAATAAAAGCACCACAGAGACTTTAAAAAGATCTGTCAATAAACTTTATAACACACATGCAGTTAAAAATAAAAATAGTCCTTGATAATGGCTAAAAGAATAGCCAAAAATGCTCAGATATGCAGAACTTTTGGACAGGTTTTACACAATTTGTGTCTAGAAAAGAAAGCACTTGTATGAACACAAGAAAAAATAAAAAGCTTAATTACACTACCTTGTCAGTCGTCCTTAAGCAAATTTGTTTAAAAAGGAATTGCTGCTCAAATGTACAATATATATATATATATATATATATATATATATATATAATCAAATAAAACTGTAATAAAAAGAACATAATACATAGATTCATTATTTACTACAAAAAAATTGAAAACTAGCAACCTCATTATTAGAAATGATATTTCCCAAACTTCCATCACCAATGTTGTGTATGAGTATACTTACCCAGCCAGGAAATGTTCTTTTGCAAATAAAAAAAATCAGAACATCTTACATAGTATAGAGCATAACCACACTTTCAGGAAGACTCACCTGCCACCTACTGGACCAGTATCATCAGGCAACACACTAATAAGCAGCATAACATTATAATTAATTATATTAACACTAGGGAGCTGCTCACAAACAATACCAAAAACAGTAAAAACAGACTTTTATATATATATATATATATATACACACACACATATACACACATACATACGCAGGGTGAGATGGATAGATTGTTGTTTTAATTATGCAAAAATATCTTGAAATACAGAGTAAATTTATTCAATAAAATTGCCATTGTCTTAAACCATGGCCCCCAGATGACTTTAGAATCTCCTGAAACTCTTCTTGATGGTTAAGTTGGCGAATGCTGCCATAATCCTTGCCTTCAGACCATCTTTGGTGTTACACAAAGTTTTGTTGGTCTCTCACTCAACTGTGCCCCACGCATAATAATCAAGAGGGTTGAGGTCTAGAGAGTTAGGTGGCTAGATGTAAGGGGTGATGTGGTCATAGAAATTATCTGACAGACATGATTGGGTTTTCCTGCTTGTGTGTCATGGTGCAGAGTCCTGTTGCCAGGCATAGGGTCTTGAATACCCACCCTTTTGACCCAGGGCAGCATTGCCACCTCAAGGCACTTCATGTAGGCTTCTGTGTTGAGTTTGAGGCCTTCACCATCAAATTTGGGAGTTCTTTTCTTATCAGAAAAATCAGAGTAAGTTTTCCGAGCTGCTGTATCTTTGTAATCATCATTAGACTCCTCTGACTCATTCCAAATCCTCTGCACTGTCCTCAGATTGACACCCAAACACTTTGAAATGTTTGTATTGGAGCTTCTGGTGCAAATGCCAAGCAGTACAGCATGCTGTTTCCAAATTTCTGGTGCAATGTATCGAGTTATAGTGCTTTTTTTTTCTCACAGGCAGCATACAAAATCAAAAACAAATAATGCACACACACGAAAGTAAAAACATAAAATGGCAACAATTTACACATCACACCCTGTATATATAAGAAAAAAAGACAACAGGCCAATTTGTTTGCATAATAAAACCTGGTACTCTAAAAACAGATTTTAATTTGTGTTAAATTTTATTAAATTCAGTTAAATTTTATCTTGATATATTGCTCCTATAAATATTAACATGTCAATAACAATTTTAATGGAAAAATAATCATAAAATTCTATTTACACACAATTTCAAATAATATAGTCTGAATTTATATTTTTCTTTACTTCCTCTAGGTGTGCTATGGCTTTAGTTCATTCAAGAGTGAAACGAGTATTTTATAGTGTGCCAGAAAAAGATGGTGCTCTTGGCAGCAACTACAAGCTTCATGTCCAAAAACATCTGAATCATCATTATGAAGTCTATCGAGGAATCATGAGCAAAGAATGTGAAATGCTTTTAACTACAGACTGTAAATCTGAAGCAATAACGTGACAAGAATCTCAAGATAGAAAACACATAATATCAAAATGAAAAATATTTTTTTACTATATTGTGTGTCTTGTTCTTTTTTACTTGTCTTTTTGACATCATTTTGTTTAACATTTAGCACTCTGCTTTATTATTTCAAAGCCTCTCAATTGCAGTCTTCTTATTGTTAATTTCACTCCTGTTGTTTTCTGTTGCCATAGAAGGATATGACAACAAAACTATGACCATCGTAATTTTGGCGGATCTTGGTAAAAAAAAAAAATATATGGTACTTCTTTTGTTTGTTCTAGAATCTTCCTAGATATTTTTCTGTAAAGATAATTGTATTCTTCCATGATCAACATAAAAAAAATCTCAGTCTTGTGGATTAGCACAAAACAGATGTTTTGTTTTTTGTCTAGAATAATTTGTAAGAACATACACATTTTGAACAGATAGTGTAATGTAAACAAACTTCTGAATTTTAGTTTAGGACCTAAGAAATTCAAATAATGCATTGATATTGTCTTCTTCTTATCAGTAGGAAGTGGATAGAGTTGGGAATCTTAGTTTTGCTTAATTTTACTGAATCTTGTTGAGTTCTGGGTTTGATTCTTGTAGTGAAAGAGATAATCATTTATCGCAAAAAAAAGTTTGTGTTCTGTGTGTGATCTGCCAAAGAAAAATTACAAAAAGTAGTTAGCAAAAATCTACTTCAATGACTAGAATCTATGCTAATGTTCTCCCCTCCCCTTTACGACAACAAGCTATTTTGGCATTTACTTTGTCTCTAGCAAGATGGCGGAAAGACCGTTTGACATAAAACTGATCCCCGAATTCAGTGGTGATATGAGTGGACAGTCTGTGGTTGAATGGATCGAAAATGTGGAACTAGTTTGCGAATTATGCGAGATCACGAAGATTGAATGGATTCTTCCACTGCACTTGAAAGGCAGCACCCTTGCTGTGTATAGGCAGATGAGCAAAGAACAGAAAAGTGACATTGAGCAAATAAAGCGTGCTCTATTAACCGCATTTGGAACTGACCAGTTTGTGGCCTATGACCAATTCCAGGCATGGCGTCTGCGACCTGGTGAGACAGTAGATGTATATTTGGCGGAATTAAAGAATCTCGCCATACTGATGAATGGATGACCTGTGCCTTTATGTCTGGATTGCATTGTCATGTTAAGCAGATACTCCGCACATCATTCAGAATGGAAGACATGATGCTCAATCAAATGTTGACCAGAGCCTGTGCTATCATGATCGACGAAAAAAGAGGCTGATGAACCAATGGCCGCAGTCATTCAACCAATTGAAGTCAAAGAGGATCCGACTCCAGCCATCTGTTGCCATAGCGATGTCACCTGCTATCGGTGCTATGAGCCGAATCATTTTGCCAAAGACTGCCGCTATCAACACAAAGAAATATGCAGCACGTCTCGATCTACAATGTTTCCAATGTCATAAAGTAGATCACATTGCCTCTAAGTGTCCAGGTTCGGGAAATGTAATGGGGGGATATATATCGGGTTCAGCTTCTGCGTGGCTTCCTGTGATGCAACAGCACGCTAAAAGAGAAGACCAAGAAAAAGAAATTAAATCTAAATAAATCCAATCTTAAAATGAATGATATTGTGTCAGGTCAATCTACAAGTGCTACTGGTACCATGTAACCCAATACTACTTGCCGTATTGTCCAGGACATTGGTAACTAAACCAGTTACTTATTTTGTTGTTTCTACTTTGTTTGTTGGACTGTTATGACGGGCTATCATTTGAACTGCAATTTGGCTACAAGTGTTGTGGTCGAGAAACAAAATATCTATTGCAGTTGCTACTATAAGTTGACAATCTTTTCTTTTTGACAACAATTCTCCTTGGAACTGTTCTTAAATTTATCTTATTATTTTGAAATATAAATTTTAACACGTTTTATTTTTAATTTCAATCATTCAACCTACTCTCCTGAGAATTTTAATAATTATTATCCAATGAGTAGTACCCCCTCCAAATCACCATCCTGTAATTTCATGCTATTAAATGTCTGAACAGTCAGTGTTGTTGTATAGCTCTAAAAGATTGTAGATTTTTAGCAACACTCACATACACATCAAGAGTGACATTAGTCTGTAGTTAAGAATATCTGATCACAACCAAAACAGTGGCATCCATGAGAAATTGCTGTCAGTGTCTTTGTAGTCATTCATTTTCATTAAATAGCAATTAAAAGCATGTTAAGAAAATCTGATCTTGCTAATCTTCTAAACATTTAATACAGCAGGTTAGAAAAGAATGACTGCTGACTCTTCTAAAGAATGCTTCTTGACTGCAATTGTAATAAGGTTTCTTTAGTCAAAAATCTATATTTCTAGAATTACATTCTTTTCAGATCAATAGAAAATAAATGGTTTCATATGACATCATGAATTTCACTTTACTTCCTTAGGGAAGAATCACAAATATCACCAGTGTCACCCTTTCATGTCACTCAGAATCAGGACGCAGGGGATGTCCATGATGTCAATCAGTGTCACCAGAACATTGTACTCCTCTGCTCCATGTTTTTTTTTTTAATTTAGTGTTATTTGTCTTTTAGACTGGTTGCCAACCAAGACTAAAGAACCTATTATCAGGTTATTTTACTCATAGCTGAGGGGGGAAAAAAAGGATTCATGCCTTTTACAAGGTATTAGTGCAAAGTGAACATAAACTTGTCTCTGCTGCATTGAACATGGATCATTGATTCCATTTTCTGCATCAAGCCACTCATATAGTGAAAGACAGAAAAAGACTGAGATAATATACACTGGCTGGGGGAAGAACCTTGGGATGCTTTTTAACATTTTTCATAAATATTGGGATGAAACAGAGGTACGTAGTATTTTTTTAAGTGAATTTCAAATACAATATTTAGTCATTTTTACAGAATTATTCAACTAAATAAACGCAATTTCGTTATTTTTATCATTTTGTTATCTGTGAGACATCTTCATGATTCCATCCTCTCAGTAGGTGGCATTTTTCTAGATGAACTGGTTGAAGTTGGTTTTACAAGCTTCTAGAGAATTTAAGATCTTTCAATTAAGAGAATTTTGTAGGGATCGAAATAAGTGGTAATACAAAGGTCAGGTGAGTACGGCAGGTGTAGTAGGACATTCCAACCAAACTATACCAATTTCTAGCTGGTTTGCAAAGAGGTGTGAAATCTGGCATTGCACTGATGCAAGATGACAATCTACCATTTGGCCAATTCTGAATACTTTTCATCAATAGCTACCTTTTAATCGGTCCAATTGGAAAAGTACTTGTCTGAGCTATAAAGCATGCTTCTAAGAAAGTTGATTTCCTGTGTCATGCTAAAGAATTTTTCTCTCCAGAAACTATCTTAGATATTTAGAACTTATTCACCCAGGCTTTGAATCTTGGTACCATATCTGGTCTACTGCTCCTGCTGTAGTTAGAGATTTTTGATAATATCGAAAGAAGAATCGGCAATATTATTGGTCATGGCATCTCAGCTTCAGTCAATTTCCCATCACTATAATGTAGCTTCCCTGTGCCTTTTCTGTGAATACTTTCATGGTAATTGTTCCGAGGAACTTTCCTGTATGGTTCATAGACTTTATGAATTTAAATGCAGTACTTGATTGGTGGCATGGTCTCATCATTTTAGAATTGAAATAGCTAGATGTAACTGTAAGTTCTATGCTAACAGTTTCTTCTCTAACATTTCATGGTTGTGGAACTCTCTTCTGTCTTCTTGCTTTCCAGTCAATTTTGATCTTTGAAAATTCAAATGCAAAGTCAATCTGTATCTTCTATCTTCTTAATTCTTGTTCTTTTATCTTTCTCCTTAATAGTATATTTTTCTCATATTCTCTAACACTCAGTAACCCCTTGCATCCTAGTGTCTATTGCCTTGCCTGAGGTGAAATGATTAAAAAGAAGAAAAAGTTTAGACAAAAAAGCTCTACCTTACTGGTCAGAACTTTGACCACCGAACTGAGTGGGAGTGATTTGAACCTGTTTGATCATGGCATCCTGACACTGATTGTCATTTTTTAAGTTTTAATATAAGACTGAAAGCATGAAAATCCTAAAAAGATGACTTCCTCGCCCAGAAATTAATTTGCATGCCATAGTTTCGAGAGAGAGAGAGAGGCCACCCACCACATGAAAATGTAAAGTAGCTGGTCAGCCTACTGATATCTGTTCTCTCTTTCTCCCCCTCTCTCTTCCCCAAGAAACAATGCTTACTACTATGCACCCACCACCTATAATAAAGTGTGTAAAAAAGAAAACTGAAAAAATTCTTTGTTGATTTGATCTCTGAGATAGTATTGGGCTTCTTACTGAGGAATTGCCAGTAGACCACTAGAATTGAATTATTTTTTATGGTTTATCAAACTTTTGTGGCTTATTTCAAAGCCAGAAAATATTTTTAGATTGTAAAAATTTTTTGGAGATAATAATGATTTACTGATACAAGGATGCTGAGCATACCATGAACCAGACATGTGAGAAATAACAAGGTTTTAGAGAAAATGCAAACAAAAAGGAAACTTAACATCAGGAAGTAACAGTTAAAATTTCTAGTGCACATAATGAGGAAAGGTGACTTGGAGACTTTGATACTCACAAGACAGGAGAGGTAAACAATGTATAACATACTTAGTGAGCTTGAGTAAATAGATGGCAGAACAGGGTTTAGGAGAAATGAGAGAAAAACAAAAAAGCTATGAAAGACAGGAAATTGTGGACACAGTACATAAAAGAGGGAACATGGCACATGAAGAAGATGATGTGCATATAACTTCTAGTGATAAAGCAGAAATGCTTCAATATAGTTAGACTAGGAATATTATCTTACAATAGGTTCTGCGGATAAACATTAAAAATAAGATATGTTTAAATAAATGGCAGACTTTATAAAAAATATTTACAAAACTGGGAGGTGAAAAGACTATGTCAAAGAGCACAGACATAATTTGAAAGACTAAAATTGTTTTTACAATTAG